TCGCACCCAAACTGACCATCATGGCCTAGCACTTGGGACTCCCGGAGCCGCGCAGTACACGGCGCCAGATCATCTGCGCAGGGCTCTGTGCCGAGCACAGGTAGCGTACCTCCAACAACGACGTCTACCGTCTCCGCCAGTCCGGATCTGGACGAAGGGGCTCCCCAACGCATGTTTTATCGCGACGTTGCTACCACAGTACGCGCCTGAAGTTAGAAACCTCGAGGACATCGGCTGTCCGGCCTTCCGGAGGCTGTTGAGCGGACAAGACGACCAAACAACTCCGGACACGCTGTTTAAGGCCCTGTCCCTGGCTGCTTGGGTCGAAGCCCACCATTCCCGCAAACATCCGTAGGCTGTGACGTCTTCTTGTACCTATTTAATTTTTGTAACTAACAATGCGCCGTCTTTCAGTTTTTTTTCTCTCGTTATGTATTAACTTATTAGCTTAATTACCTTTCGTACTTGCTGTTGCTTAATTTGAACCCCCGAGGCCATTATATTTCGGCTTGTTCGGTTTATGCCGCGGTTCAGGCACAAAACAAAATCAAATACAAAATTCATAAAACAAACAAACAAACAAAAAACCCCTATAGTTTTACTTCGCTGCTTTTTTTTCGTTTCTTGTATTTATTATGCCTTCTCTTTTTTTTCGCTCGACCAGGAGGTCTCGATTTAAGGTGGGAGGAATGTAACGATAGGATTTTTAGTTATCGAGTTCTTTCATGCTTGCGCTTCAAAAAATACAATATTCAACGTAGAAAGCTTAGATCAGCAAAGCGTAAACGCTACCAGTTCTCCTTCAGTCACCCGTAAACAGTTGTTATTAGTGTTAAACTGTAACAGCCACCTGTCATGTCCTTTTGTGTAACTGTTATCCACCGGAACTCTTTAAAAGTAATTAATATTGTAAAAGGCGAAATTCCTACTAAGCCAATAGTTTAGTAGATTACATGATCCTTTAGATTATTCATGACATTACGTTATCCATGTACGTTAGGTTTAAATAGGACTGTTCTGTAAAGCTTAGGAGTTGGGTGAGAAAGTTAGGAAGAGAACGGGGTCGAACCAGCCCTGGCCAGGTCCGTTCTGGTCAAAATTGTAGTCGAGCTTGCAGAATAAATCTACGTTGGAGCCAACCCTGTTGTCGTTAGTCATTCTCTCAAGGATAGTCAGCAACCGTAATAGATTCCGGTTACCTCCCCGCAGCCAGCGAGTGCCCCCAAGGAGAGCCTTTACCCACAAGAGTTTTAAGAGTTGTCCCCGTCCGTCCGTTCATTTGTGAAGGCAAAACCCTGTTTTCACAATTCTTATAATTGAAGGATAGCTTTTCTTTGGTAACATCGGTGATCAAAGTCTGTTTGAATTTTTCATATTTTCATCTGAATAATAAATTTAGGGGCCATCCCACGAATTCCTCCTTTTTGATTTGCAATGTAGAAAAAAAACAAAGTAAACAAATGGACCAAACTGAAGCTGAACTAGAGAAAGCGAAAACAAAGCAAAAGTTCAACCTCACCTTGAGCGATGACACACAGAGAGACAACTCCGAAAATAGCGATTGGATGTAATCCTCTTCTTAAGTATTTCCAGTAAGTCTTGAATGTTACAGCGCCGATTACACGATCTTTCTCCGATATTTGCAGGCCTTTACATGATTTTCTGCAGGAATCATTCCAACTTTGAAAACCGATTTATCTTCATTTTGTAAGAAAGATCTTCCAACTGACTTGCTTTCCTCGATCGGCGTAGGGGGATTCAGATCAAGAGACGTATTCAGAGTACCCTTTTCAAAAAGCTCTGTGAAAGGTCCTATATCCAAGACACTTCCTTTGTGCATCACGATAACTTCATCCGCCTCCTTCATGTGTCGCTCTTGATGGGATGTCAACACTCGGGTTTTGTTGCCCAAGATGCCTTTAATACACTTTTCAAAGATGTGTTGACCAACTTTTGTATCCACGGCACTCAAGGAATCATCCAGCAAGTACAGATTAGCATCCTTATAAACTGCACGTGCTAAGCTCAGTCTTGCACGCTGCCCTCCGCTTAGAAGGACTCCACGTTCACCACCACTGTTTAGTCACCGTTCGGAAAAGTCTGAATGTCCTCCACGAGGGCACATGCATCAACTACTTCGGAGTACATGGTTTTATGGTACGGTTCATCAAATAAAATATTTTCTCTTATTGTTCCAAAAAAGACCCATGGTGTCTGGGGTACATAAACTAATGAGCATGGCGAAGTTCTCGTTCCAAATACGATTGACTCCTCACCAGCAAGCGCTTGGAGAAGAAAAGATTTTCCACTACCTACTGACCCTGTGATGACTGTTAAACCTTTGGAGGAAGTTGAAAAATCGACGTCCCAGAGAATGAAGCTTTCACCGCACTCATTATCTTTTAATTTCAAATAGGCCACGGAAAGGGAATTTGACTCGGCCAGTTGGTTTCTTCTATCAGCAGCAATTCAGGAACTTTGTCTCTGTTTTCCTGTCTGTATGGAGGGGTTCTCTTCAAAATAGACTCTCTCTTCTGGTTTGCGTTAGTAACGCCGCTCATGGGGTTCTTGTGGTTAATCCTAGGTAAATCTCAGGAATCTCTAAGAAATGTACGTTTTATAACGCACACGCTGAGCTATTGCTCTGCCCTTAAGATCTTTTGTTTTGCGATGTCCTCCTTTGCCTTTGCCGTTGCCGCTGCTGTCGCAATTTACAAATTCCTATTAAGCGGTCGTTTCGGAATATGGCAAGAGCAGGCAAAGAAAGATTCGGAACGCAACTTCGATATTTTAAAAATAAGGAAACTTTTAATCGATTTGCACAGCATACTATTTAATTCGGTGCAGTTTATCATTCAGCGGTTATGGATGACAGCTTTAGAGAAACCTCTCGAAGTGAGATCGAAACGCTTCTAGATTTTCGAGACGCCCTTCAGCCAGCTCTTACGTTTAGTACCATTTTTTTGAATGTAAAGATTTCGATTGTAGCGATAAAATTTAAATTCAAGTTTAAAAAAAGCAAAAAAAAAAAAAAGGTATGGCGCTACGGTAGATGGATATCCTAAATGGCTTCTCAAACTTCCAAACTATGCCGAACAATGCCGAACCGAGCGTAAAATCTCACTAAGAGCATTCCTTCATTTGTTTGTTTGTCTTTTACGAATGAGTCGGTTGGCGCCCTTTGCTTTGCAAGAAATTCAACGTGAAAACTCCCCGCTAGCAAGATTTCTCCCAAACATTTCTCTACCAATGTTCTGAATGTATATGTACAAGTGTTTTCGAAAGACAACTGTAACTTGCGCAGAAGTTCGCAAGGAAAAAAAATGGTAACTTTTCGTCCTATCAGATCTAATCAATACCACTCCATCTACAATATAACAGAAATTAACAAAATTTTGATGAATTGTGCCCGGAAAAGCCGACTGCTCTTTCGTAAATTAGTCTGACGAAAGCTAATGGCTTAATAGATATATATGCATTCCGCAGTAAATATTTCTAATCAGGACTAAAAAAATTTTAATAAAGGTAAACGAGCTCACTGCCGCGGGGGATTTTTACCCGCAATAATCTAGTCCTACTTAAGCTGGTTATGTCAACACTCCCGCGGCATTTTAGTGTAACAAGAAAGTGTTACGTTTGTCTGAGTTAAGGCGATGCAAATCGCAGCTTTTGGACGTCTTCTCGAAGCTAAATCACGATTTGACTTAACTCGCGGCACGCAACCTCATTTTTTTCGGTGTAAGCGGAAACTGTAACGGTGATAGAAGAGGCTACAACGCTTTCTCCTCAAGTTGAGACAAGAGAGCTTTCACGCATAAAAGATTCATAGGATTTCAATAGCTCACATCGTGGTTGTTTCAGAAGAGCGAATTGGAGTTTTACAAAAGAAAGGCTTACTCGCAAGATAATTCAAGCATTGGGAATAATGAGGCAGAGGAAAAAAAACCAAAGTAATATATCCTATCAGTTTTGATTAATACGATAGCATCTGAAATTTCTGGGCGTGAAATTGCGTTTAATACAGGCGCCAATGGGACTAAATTTTTCACTTTGGCGATCAAATCCTGAAGATTAGTCGCCATATTGGCGACTAGAATGTTTCATCATAACCGTACAAAGAGATTCAGTGAATTAAAAAGATTTGCAAAGATAAATCCGCGGCAAACTTTCTTGTTAAGTTTGTTTCCATAACACAGCACATGCATCTCGATCGATAACTAGGCGCCATCTTGGAATTAGGTGAGCTTAAAGGTTGTATATCATCCATCCTAGTGTCCACTTTGTAGCGCGTTAAAGATCTTTTCCCTACCTTAATTTTGGAGGGTCTATCTAGAACGCTGACATCGTAAAAAAAGGTTTTGTTTGTCTTTGAAAATGGCGACCAATTTTTTTTTGAATAGTCCATTTTAAAGTTGTGTGCTTAGTTGCCAAGCCTTTGAACAGGAGTGAGGCTAAGGTTGACCTTGTTATGATACAAACCTTGTTGCTTTTCAAATGCAAATTACTTTGTTATCATCCTAACTAGATACTGGTCTCTATCACAACAAGATCACCTTCAGCCTCACTCCAAATCAAAGGCCTGGCAACTAAGTACATAATTGTAAAATGGCCTATTGACTACCACTTTGAAGAATTTAGGAGCCAAGTGGCTATCAGAAAAACAAATTAATTTCACGCCCTGTGACTTCTTTTTTTTTTATTCAACATCTAATAATAACCCAAGGTTAGTGCGAAATGTGATTTCAGATTTCAGAAAGCTTTAAAAGAAAATGCAGTAAAATGTTTTTTTGTCTACGATTTTATGATTTTATTGGGTGCTCTAAAGTAATAGAAAAAATTAGGATCAATATCAGTATCTGGGCAACTGCCCACCTACCCCTCCCCTAACTCAATAATAGTCCATTGATAACAAGTTAAGGTTAATGTTGGGTTAGGGGAGGGGTAGGTGGGCAGTTGCCCAGATACTGATATTGATCCACAAATTATTCAAAAAGGGGCTTCTGAACATAGGAATGGAGAAACCTAGAATAAAATTTCACCTTAGGTTAGCGCCACTCGGCCTTCGAACAACTGGGCCCTAATGGGGTATGGGCGCAAATCCGAACAATCTACCCGACATTACTTAGTTACTGAGCAACACTCAGAGCTCATTCGGAAGAATGTCACTAAGTGAAACACAGCCTAAATGTCGACATAAAAAGTTGGGCAAGTACCCTAGGTGTGATATTCTTGACCCTCAGTTTAACTGCACCCTCGTGAATTACAGAATTACCTCTTTCTCTCTTTATCTCTCTCTCAAACTGATCAAGGAAGGAGAAATGAAAGCAAAAATTGCCATAAAATTTACCACTAACATCTAAGAAGTCGCCAGCTAGGGGTTTCATGAAAGTATGATGACAACAAATCAGACTGAACTGATGAATACCTATAGATCTCCAATGAGAAGGGTAGAACTCGAAGGGGTGGTTTGATAGGGCATTTGAGAGGGAACTGGAACATACATTTGGGCTGTTCCCGATGTGTGGGATATTTTCTGCATGTTTTCGGCGGGTACCATCACTAAATGACCCATGTACCCTTGGGGCACCATCACATGTGAGCCACCTCGTGGTGCAGCTTGGTAGGTTGGTGCGCCAGTTGGGGCCTGAATACCTCCCTTGAGAATAAAAAAAAACAAGGCATAAATGACACAAAATGCATTAATATCACTGCAATTTGAAATTCTCCTAACTCATACATTCCCAGTTAGTTTGTAGCCTGTTAGAATGACATGTGCAAGTTTGCATAGAACGTGGCATCAACTATACCACTCAGTGACATAGAAACACATTTTCAACAATTGAATATTTTTCTGTTGTACACTTAGTGGCCAAGCCTTTGATTTGGAGTGAGGCTGAAAGTGACCGTGTTGTGATAGATACCAGTATCTAGTAAGCATGATAACACAGTACGTTGCATTTGAAAAGCAGCAAGGTTTGTATCATAACAAGGTCAACCTTAGCATCACTCCTGTTCAAAGGCTTGGCAACCAACCACTCAACTGTAAAATGGACTACTCCAGTGATATTATTCATCATTCAACCGCCTAAACAATAACTGTTCAGGTGACAAAGATACTCGATGGTCAAAGGGTGTATACGAAACCTCGACCCAAAGTGGTGTCAGCGATCTAGATAGACCCTCCAAAATTATGTTCTACAAAGTTCTACAAAGTGGACACTAGGATGCGTGTTATACAACGTTCAAGCTCACGCCAAAGATGGCGACTAATTATCGATCGAGATACATGTGCTGCGTTTTGGAAATTAAACAAACTTAACGAGGAAGCTTGCCGCGGATATCTCTTTGAAAATCTTTCATATTCTCTATATCTCTAGGTATGGCTATGACGAAGCATTCTAGTCGCCAATTTGAGGACTAATTTTCAGGATTTGGTCACCAAAGTGAAAAATTTAGTTCATTGGCACCTGTATCAGGCAATTTCACGCCTTGTTCTTGTAGTATTAGCTCAGAGAACTTTAAAGTTATTTTTGTTTATATTTATTTAAGTTATTTATTTCAACTTTTAAGAATATTAAAATATTCGATCAACTAAATAATTCCTTTATTATCATCACTAGTCTGGTTGATATTGTAAGGAGAAATTCTATCTTGGTCATTTATGGGAGTAAAGGATAAAGTAGGGGCATTTATTCTATCACACAATGCGTTTAGACCTTTAGATTTTGCGAGAGCAAAGACATTTGATGGATTATTATGTTAAATAATTTTTTCCTTGGGAATTATTCCACAATATCAATACATGATCACATTTTGAAAAGGTATCATATTGCATAATGAGTACTTCACTACCTGAACAGGACCTCTTGTCACAAAATTACTTCCTTGAACTTGCACTAAAGGCAAAGGGATTGTCATCTCTCTGTCAGTTGATTCCTCTACTGGGGCATTGACAAGCTTTCAAAAAACAAATTGAGACAAACAGATCAATAAATGAGTGAATAAATAAATGAATGTGCAATATGTAAAATGACAATATATATTACAAAGGTAATTACAGATAAATGAATGAATCATTTATTAAGTGTATAAATTAATATGATTATTAACACAACAATCCAGTGAAAAGCAGTGGATACATTAATATTCAGCCTATAAGGTATCTAAGTAGTTAAGAATCATAAAAATATCTTCCACATTAAGTTTATCTCACTATAATTTAAGTAAACCTATGATATAAGCTCAATGGTAAAGCAGTGTATGGTCATTTTCATACAAAGACCTCAATGAAGTCTCAAACATGTAAGCTGAAAAATTATGTCGTTAACCTATGTGGTTAAACATCTTTCTCTATTTCTTTACTGAGCTCAGAACTTACCATTTCCCTTATTCTATTTACAAACACGCTGCTATTGACATCACTGATCCTAGCAGTATTCAGGACATGTGTCATATGAACTTTGCAATAGACCTCGCTCACCGTAGAGTCTCTGTGGCTTGGCAGTAGAGCATCGGAGGTCTGAGGTTTGATACCTCATAGGGACTCAGAATTTTTTCTTTGTCCCACACTTGTGACAAGACAAAAAATATCTTTCTCTAATAGGTTACCTGTGAATAAGGGTTTCTTTCCATTGAGGCCATTGTTCCCAAAATAGAAAGGAAAATTTCAGTCATTGCCAACACAAAAATAGTGCCTACAATTGCAGTCTCATCAGTCTCATAAGAAAGGACAGTGATGAATAACCATCCATAGCAGTAGGCTATGAGGCTACATAAGATGGAACAGAATATATTCATTGCTCTGTATGTAGCAACCTGTGGAAAGTGAAGTAGTACATGCAGCATTAACTTTTGTTTGCAATGTATTTTAAATTTGATCAAAAAAATCAATTAAGTACCCTTTAAATCTTAAGATAATAGATATGAAGACAAATAAAGTGCTTCTTCAGTGATATAGTACTGATAAGGTGATGTCTGAATTAATTTTGAATTCTCAGTCAAAACAAATATAACATTGAACACATACATTGACAAATTTATTCATCTGTGACAGCTTATTCACTCAACACCTATGAAGGGCTGTCTTATGTATGCTCCGCATGAAACCTAAGCCTACAGTTTGTTATGCACCATGCATCTGATAAAACCCTTTCCTTCTTTCACTTATCTTCGTTGTTTTTCGAATGAAATGATTTTGACTTTCTTACATTATGGAATTTTAAGAAGATATGAGAAAATAACAGATAATGGATCATGCATGATTGCATGGTTACAAACTTCCTAAAAATTTAAAATTGACTATGTGACCTGGATTCTTTTTCCTTCTTCTTGTCTTCCTTTTCCTTCAATATTTCTCATTCAATAAGATCTTTGTAGTGAATTTCTTAATGAGACAAGAAAATCTTGTTTCTCACCATGCTAAAAAAATATGGGCTGTTTGTTTTATTCACCATCACAACGCCAACTGCTGCAGAAACCAGCAACTGAAAATTTGTGAAGAAAAATAAGCAACTTGAATTAAATTTGCACATGTAATTATTGTACAACCTTGAGCTGCATGATGGTGTGTGCATTTCAATTAAAAACTCAAGCCATTCTTTTTTTCATAATGCTTCAATAATTATGATTTTAAAGTTTGTCATTAACAATTCGCCAAGGTCGTTTTGATCTTCACTGTGATCCATATACAGTTGAACATGTATAAGCGATCACCCATGGGTGACCGCTTAATGCAGGTTGGCCACTGAGTATACGTTCCACAGAGTGGGATTATTTAAGAAATACGATAAAAATCTCCATTTTATGCCATAATGTACCTCTTAATGTGCAAAAAAAGTCGGTCAAAAATACTACTAACATTGATTTCGGGAGATAAACATGGATCAAATTTTAATTGAAAGATAATTCTTAGTTATAATTATTTCAGTAGTTTCACTGTACGTGACCGTTCAATATAGGAAGATGATAACACAAAAGGGCCGTTAGGATTCAGTAATGGGTGACTCTGACCCTAAATAAAGGTGACCGCTTGATAGAAGTGAAGGTTACAACAATTACGGGGTAATGATTTCAGAACTTTCAAACTGACTGCTTATTACAGGGTAACCGCTTGATAGAGCTTGGACGATAACATCTTTATGCGCACATTATCTCTGCAGTCCCTTTCCATCTTCACACTTTAGCGTACACTAATATCATTTTTCTAATTTGATGTTAGCTTTGTAAGGCGAAATAATGGGCAAAAGTATGATTAAAAGAGGAGCAGAGCTTGCAACAAACGATGGCGGAAAATAATCGAATGTCGGAAATAGTATGTAATATCAGTACTATGTGACTTTTTGCTTCGATTGAATTCTTCAAAATAGTAGCCATCCGATTTGGTAGGATAGTGAGGATGTTTTGACGTGAATTATTTTATTTTACGTAATTTACGATTAATAGCATGTTTCTTGAAACGAATGCGAGTCTTAAGTCATTCAGCGTTTTCTTTACGGCAGTTTGTATACTTACCAAAAATCCCGTCCAAATTGGCATAACAATACGGCTAACATTAGAGTCCGTTTTTACTCGATCAAAGACTCCTGCTGTTATCATTGCCAACGCCAAAAGTGCTTGCAGGGTGGAAACCAAACCGCGTATGAGATTGGGAGACAACACCGCCATGACAGTATAGTAAAAACTAATAGCCACCCACGCAACAGTGTTACAGCTGGTCAGCATTAGATTCCATCCACCAAAACCACCTCGGTCGAGAGGGACTGAGATGGAATATTTAATGACATAACCGAAGATTCTCGGAAATCCGCAAGTGATGTAGCCGAACATCCGAAGCTGTAAATCCCATGATTCTTGAGGAACAAACAGAAACAGCATAGCGAGAATTTTAAGTCGCGAACCATTGATGGTAGACATGCAGATAATTTAGGATACGTAAATTCTGTTGATGAGGGGCATAAACTTATTGCGGAATTTGAAACAGGATTGACGACGAAGTTTTCTTTCTTTAAAGCTGTCAAAGGTTTCGGGAACACCGGTGTATATATATATATTGATATAGCTCTTTGACATTACAAAGCTTTGCTATCGCTATTGTGCATTCTCACTAGTTTATCTAGTTCAAGTTCTACCACAATTGTGGAATCATTCGGATTAATTTAATACTTACACCTCCTTCCTTGGACAGAAGTCACAAAATACTGGGGGAAGATGCATGAGATATTTAAGGAGCAAAAATTCGTTTTTTACTGGTGTGCCTTTCCTAATTTTGGTAAGGAAAGTGCAATTGCCAGCACGGCATAGATAGAACAGCTGGAGAGAAAAAGAAACGAAAAGATGCAGAAGAAGTACTGTATATAATAATTTCTTTATATCCTCAACCTTTGTGTTTCTGTCAACTATGGCTTGCTTATTCAAAAGGTCAAATACATGAATGGGTCATATGACATTGATCTCAGAATACTTTTATGACAAACGTGATAACAGTTCAATCTTGACTAAATTGAAGATGGTTTAGAAGTTAACAATTATAAGAACTTTTCACTAACATATGCTGCTGACAAAGGAGAAAAATATATGCAATTCTGCTTTTTTGCTTTCTATCAAGCAATCATATGTTGGCTCCTTATCACACTATGACACTTCTGTTTTGTCACATTCCAAAAAATAACTTGAGAAATACACTGTCACTCATCTTACACTGTTATATTTACCTATTACAGAAGGCTGGAAACAAAGATTTTGTTTTCAAGAAAATAAGATTTCTTGTCCAAGACACAAGGAAGTTTGACTGCAAAGCACATATAAAAATGCAAGAAATTTTTTTTTCAGAGAACTAGGTAGTTCTACTCATGTATAAACAGAACAAATCCAATTTAATAAATCAGATATGCGGCATGACTCCTTTTCTTCCATCCCCACTCAAAACAAGCAAACACACCTATAGAGGTTCCAGTCTGGTCTGCAAATGAAAAGGAGGAAGGTGATCACTGCAAAATTAAGCATTAGGGTTCTTATTTATAACATATTGATTATTGTATACTGATATCTAGAAATTAAGGTTGCAAGTAGCAGCCAGCTGAGTTATAGTTTGAGTTTTATCAAGTCCATTACTTTGTTAAATTTAGAGTAACCTTGTCTTGAGAGAGGAAAATTGAGGAGCTGTAATATACTAATCATCAATTAGGGACCACAAAGAAAAATTTATTTATAGAGACTTTTGAAGGAGAGGGGTAAGACTTGTGACAAGCTGGCAGACATATAGATAAACTTTACTGCTAAATGGGTTACAATACAAAGTGCTCAGTATTTGGATCAGCTATGGCTCAACTTAAACTTTGCTTTAGCTTCAAGTTTAATCCTTTGTGGTTTCCTTTCTCTGTGTTTATTTTTCAAGTTATGTACACAGAAGAACACAAAAATGACAAGGAATGCTTTTGAATATCAAGAGGCTGGAATAAGCAAGAAACCAAAACTGAATTTTAAACAGTACAAAGTTAATTTGATCTTCCAATGTTATTTAATTTTAACCATAGAATTTGCTATTTAAATTTATCCCCTCCATTTTTCTGGGTATTGTGAGCAAAAACAAACAATTATCACAAAATGCATGGTATACAATGGTTTGATTCACCAATGTGGCAAAGGCCTTTCACTGTCTATCCATAAAAAGGGAAATAGTTTGTAAACTTTAAGACATTCTGCATGTTGAGTGTATACTTATTCATCCATGTGAAATTAAAGGTTACTTGAAATAAATGTGAAAGATTTATAGGATTTTCAGACCCCTGATAACAATTACTAATGTGCTGATTTGTTGTACTTAAAGGTTATGATTTTAGCGGAAATAGTGGAAGAAATTTCTGGACCTGGAATTTTGTTGCAAATGTTTGTTTAAATCAGTTTAAGTCAGTTAAAAACTCTCCTGTTTCAAGATTACATGATTACCACACCAGAACCTTTTGTATTCTATATTATGCACCATGTTATGATTATGGTTTCAATAATAAAAGGTGCTGACTCAAGAACTTTCCAAAATATCTCTACATACAAAGAAATAGATTGTGGTTATGTACTCCGAATAGCAGGTCACATCAGTCTTCTGTAAGGAAGTAGCAGAAATTTCTGTGGTGGTTTTGGTGGATGGGAGAAACATCCACCAAAACCACTTTTTATTCTATGTGTTAAGAGTTATGATAATCATTATGAACGTTTGGTCGGTCAGCAATTGTGCACCATTAAAAATAATTAGCCAGAGCACTAACTGCTAATTAGTGGAATAAATCTTTTGTCTCCCTGAACATCTAACAATGGCTATAGATAAAATTTAAAAAATATATTGTTGATGGTTTTGGTCAAAGTTTTGGTGGATGTTCCCTAATGACATCCACCAAAACTACCTAACATCTAAGCACCTTTTAAATACGTGAAATATCTGCATAAAATTGCGTAAAATGTTTTATAATACTACAATCGAACAATAAATTAATACTTACCATTTCTTTAGTAAAAAGTTTTGACGCAATTTCCCAAACAAATAATACATTTGGGTCATCGGGATAAGTCGGCATGTTGTCGTAGCTTCGTAATTTTTTTCCATCATTCCATCTCAGTCCCTCTCGACCAAGGTGGTTTTGGTGGATGGAATCTAATGCTGACCGTTACAGCTTGGATCGCGAATATTACGGCTGTTGTTACCAGACCTCCTGCACGTTTCGACGGAATCTCTTACCGTGACTTAAGGTTTTCGAGAGCTCTTAGGCGATACAAGAACATTGCTGTTTCGTTTAATAAATAGGCGTTGCATCGTGTTGACAATAGATTGATTTAAAAGCGTTAGATTATTATGTTTTAAGTCAGTTTTTCAGCAGAATCGAAGTGAGAAAGAAGTTATTTTGTTATCGTTTTTCTGTCAGTCTAAATCCGCTTACCTGGAGAATCTGCTAACCCGTAAAGTGAGACTGTTGTAAGGACCCGCCACAGAAGTAAGTTTATATTGAAGTTTTTGAATTTAGTTACAAGACAAAGACTTGATTTGCGTTTGTTCTAATTGCGAATTATAAATGTATTTCTTTTAGATCGAATAATTATTAAAGCTTGGCTTAATATTATGCGGTTTGTGGTGATCATTTGATCTAACCAGTTCCGAGTAAGGAAACAATCGCTATTTACGTGAATAGTCGTTAATGGGGTTCCGATCCCAGTGAAAATAGGCTGATTTGTTTTTCGTGACTACATGATCACCGGCGACAGTCTAGACGGTGTTCTAGAGCTCGGGCCGGAGCATAGAATTTTGGCGTGTGTGTCAAAGAAAAGCACCGTTTTCGACTGAAGCATAAGTTATCCAGTTAATATCAAAAATAGTAATAAGCCATACCGAGAAATGAAATCAAAAGCCTTATTTCCAGAGTATTTCCGGTATTTTCCCGTGATACAGTTCAATGAGATAAACCCGACCGAAAAAAAACCCGATGACAAACTTGTTGGAGGGCTAAAATTACACTTAGCTTCATGCTGCGTTTGTTGATGCCTGGATACCCGAGTACTTTTCTTGTCATTGTAGCAAGTATCAGGACGTAAAGACCACTTAACCTTTACTGCGTCACGGGATTTTCACATTTCTTTTCATGGGAGTTTGATCTTTTCTTCGGCCAAGTTAATGCGATAAGCCAATGTAAAAATACTTTATGAGCAATGGCAAGGGTAAGCATGAACCAACCCGCGCCACGCCTTCACCATACCTTTGTGGCTAATGAATCCAGAGTACAAAGACTGATCACAGCTCAAGAAGTGCTACTAGAATACAGCCTGTTCATTATTGTGCTTGGTTGCTTTGCTGGGGTCATATTGTGCTTAGAGGTGGTACGAAAGATGGCCGTATTTCTTGATGGAAGAAACATCGGTGTATGAATCAAGTTCTTCGAGCTCCGATTCAGTCATCATCATGAAAGATATCGATCCCATGTAACCTCCGATATGTAGCTGATATTAGACTGCGGAAGAAAAAGGAAAGTTTATAATCAATACTGGGAAATGCTATATTTTAAAAGTGCCCATCGAGAACTTTGGGAAACGCCAACTGTGACTTATTCGTGGATAATAATCGGTTGAAGCTTACGCCTTGATGTGTCTGTTACCATACTATTAACAATGTATTCCACCCTGAGTGCTGGTAGACTTAAATTACCTCATACATCAGAGAGATGCGATTTGTGCACTGGTGGTATATACACTTTATCCAATGACTCGATCGATTTTGTTTTTTAACTAGAAATAGAGATGACTCTATTCATTGAGACACTTGAACTTAAGAATCACGCTACTGCACTACTGTGAACACTAATCAGATGTCTAGGAATGTGTCAGAAAGTTAGGTCAAGTAAGCTTCTGTACATCAATTCAACAAAGAGAGAGTGCTTTGTGCGTCTTATGACTGCCTGCCTGCAACAACAGGCATTGCAGTGCTTGCCATTTGACCTGAATTAGTTTTCACCTCCCCGTCACCTCCCCCTTCCCTCTGTCCTCTCCCTCAACCCCAGGGATGGTTATTACAAACTCGATTTTTCCACTTTGAGTAGAGAGAAGAGCTGACAATGTTTACAATTATTCCTTAAATCTCTCAGACGAATTACGAAAAATTACGTTTCGGAATGTCCATCGTAGAAAGTATCGATGAATAGCTTTATTTCTTAATCACGAAATGCAGTTCGTGTTGATAACAGTGCTCATGTTTTCTATTTTGTTTGACAATTACGCTGTAATCCTTAACTTATTACTATATCTTCTTCGCACAAGCCTAATTATTTCATCTTTTTTTATTTTGCTCTGTCTTTTTGTTTAATCTATTGGATTACCGAAATTACAAACGTAATTACACATTACTTTCTTTCTCTCTGATGCGTACCTTTTGTTTAATTTGATATTTGTCCTGGCGTGTACATATGAGTGTGTCGACTTAATGCTGTTCTTTTACCATAAATGTCTTTGTAGATGAATTAGACAGATCAGGTAAAGAGGACACATGCCCACGATAAGTACTGCGGACAAGAAAAAAATAACACAAAAACAGAAACAAAATGGAAAAAAAGGCGGTTGCCAGAATATAATGGGTCATTTGTAAAGGTTTATAATAGCATCTGATTACCCTGAGTTATAACTGATTGACCAAATTATGCCAAAAACGTTTGTTTTTCGTGTTATTTAGGAACAGGACACTACATTTTTTGCCATCACTCTCTGAGACTTGAAAACATATCGTTTTTCTTTACGGTGTGATATTTTATACCTTACTTAAGATGATTGAAGTCCTCCGTCAAAACGGCTGAAGGGAACCACTTTGATATGGCGTTACTTCAGATCCACTTACAGACGGGTGAATAGAACCGTTTAGTTATGCTTTATGGTTAGCACCGAGATAAACAACTACGGCACGTGGAGCACCATGTACTCTTTGCAAATATTTACATTCTATTGGTCAATATTAGATCGACTGATCTTTGGAACCCGTCGCCCACACCATCAGACTTTGACCTCGGCTCACGTTTTTGATACTGATAACAAAATGTTCAAAGTGGGTAAAAAGTGCTACTGCTAAGTGGAAAATTTTGTAGCAGCAACGTTGGATGCTCAGGTAATTATGATTGATTGCTTCAAGCGGCTAAATGTGCTGCTTCAAGGTTCTGTAGTGCAACATTCCTTCGACAACGTTTCGGTTATTCGGTTTCCTTATGCAAAGTGAGCCGGTTTTTCTTTTTTTTTTCATGGGATTTGTCCCCATTTAAAGTATTGACGAGATTCGAAGGTTTTGACATTCAATCGTAAGTTATTTTGGGTTAAAGTGTATCGAACGCTTTGGTTTAAATTAGTTGTTGTGCTCTGTTCCATTATTTGCTTTAAGTCTTGACATGATTGTTTCTCTTAGCACTTACCACAAATTTACTCCTGATCTCACAGATTTCTCCATTTGTGAGTCAGACAAACACAACTGGGCAGAGGAGGTCAACGTGAGCACTTGATAAGTTGCCAGATTGGAGGGTGAAGTAAACATCAACAGTTTTGATCAGACAGACTTTGCGAAGGGAAACTCACACGATGAAGATGAAGGTAATGCAAGGAGAAACATGCGAGTCCCTATAATTTTTAAAGAGAAGAACAGATGCGTTTTCTTTGTTTCGCATTCTCTTCCTTTTGCTTGGTTTGTCTTACTTCTCGCTAACTGCACAATTTTTAAACCTTCATTTATCAAACTAAATCCCATACCATGATATTCCCTGTTCCTATACCCTGATATTCCCTGTTTTGTCCTTTTTGGTAGAGCGACGTGCACGCACTCAATTGTTATTCAGCATGGGTACGGATTCAGTTCTCTTTTTCGTACTGTAGCTTCGAGTATTTGATCCAAAAATAATGTAGAGCTTCTATTTGATATTTCCTATTCTGTTGGTTTCTGTGTTAAAGCAACATTTTTTTTCCATCGCGTAATCTTTCCAAATACCTGCTGTGATGGACCCATTGGATTTTTTAACAAAGTAAAGCTGAGTCTCTGTTTTCTGATAGATCACCTCCTCACGCGCTCGAGAGGAATCGAGTGCACGACAATGCTATCAGTTACTAAACAGCAATAATGTCCAAGTAAGAGCGTTCAGAACTGAAGATCTTCATAAGTGCCAAGAAATTTTTACCCAAGGTATGGTGCAGTTGATCAGTTTGGTACTACGTGTTGTATTTCCGAGATACATATGGCTTACCTCTGCATCAAGCTTCTTCGTTCTTGTTCTTGTCGTGTTATTCCAGTGGAGGAGCGCAGTCTTTCTGCTCTACATCCTTATCTGTGCAATTACACTTTCAATGTTGTACATCCATGTGTACATAGAGTGTTGGAAGTTCATCAACTCATGTTTGGCAACAGACTTGAAGGACATTGAAAAGGTTTACATGACCAACAATGGATGTCACATGTGGGTGGCTGAGTGGAATGGTAAAGTTGTAGGAATGGTTGGACTCGTTCATAATGAGAACCAAAAACCTGGAATGGCTGAACTTCAGAGGATGTCTGTATCACCAGCCTGTAGAAGAATGGGAGTCGCCGGGAAACTTCTCGACGAACTCCTGAATTACGCCAAGGATCAACGGCTAGAAAGACTTGTACTCACCACAACTAACGCACAGACACCGGCCATTCGACTTTACAGGAAATATGGCTTCAAACTGGTGGCAGTTTTCTCTCACCCCTACAAGACTCTTACAGATCTGCAATACCACTGCTTTGAACTGCAGCTGTGAGACAATAATTTTGCAAACAGAAAGTCCATGCTAAGACTTCAGCTGCTTACGCCCCCGGGCTGAATGAGACACAACTAACGACCAGAGCAATCTTGCATTTAGAGTAAATAAAGGCTAATCGCCGCATTCGGTGGATGATTGACTGTTGAAAATGATCGCTATAGTCATTATAAACATCAGAACTGCAACCTCAGAATACGTTGAACTCTTAGTTTTCCACACAGCCACTTTTAAGGGATGTCACGCAACGCCTCCCCTTGCCTCAACCCCCTCCTCCCCTCTTAAAAGATCATTCTTTGGAGAAGGTCGTTAATTGACATTCTAAAATGAGAGACAGAAAAAAAATAATAGACTTCACACTGATAAGAAAGTCAATAAATGACTCCGTTATTCCTATATGAAATTTGTGAAACAGTTTGATGTGGTTTTGATTCTTCTCCTCAATCGCAATATGCTCTTCATTCCCTGTGGCACTTAAAGCATATATAGCCCTGATTTATGCAGCATATTGTTCATTACCCTATGTGAGTTTTGCCTCACTGAGTTCAGCCACGACAGTTCGGTGGCAGTTGGTTTTTTGGCAGACCAAGTTTCCCATAAAAAAGGGAGCATTCTTGGAAAAAAGGCTAGAACACTAACAACAACGAGAAGAAACAAAATAAAGATGGCGCACGAACCAAGAAAATCGAATGCCGTGCCTTAGAGCGGGGAATTCAGTATTATCAACTGAGTGGATAACGTAAATTTGCCACGGTAAAGAGTTTCAAAGCTAACGTTTCGAGCGTTCGCCCTTCGTCGTTCACTCTTACGAAGGGCCACCACTCGGAAAAGAGACAAAATTCTCACGATGAAGGAGTCTTTTCATTTTCAAGAAACTTAACACCCATAAATTGACCCTGAAGCAGCAATAAATTGTTAAGAATGAAGAAAAAACTATTTCAGAATAGCTTTTAGTTACCAAAACAGGAGTCTTACACGATGAACGGTAACGTAGAGCCTCTCACAAAACAAAAAACCTGGTGATATTGTAGTGACACAGACGTCATTAGACGGTTACCTGACGCACAGCACCCTTTTTCTCTTTTTTTGTTTGTTTGTTTGTTTGTTTGTTTAATTTGCGTATCTATTACACGAGGTTGTTACCGATGAATGCTTATACTGCCTGTCAGATGACTACTTTTGGATTAACTATAGCCTATAGGGTTTATTTAATTTATCTAATATATCTAATTTCTATTTTTTTTTCAATGATCTTCACCAGGTAAATCTGGGTCGTCCTCCTTTTCTCTTCCAAGTAGGAGTCCATTTCCTCCTTTTAGTTTCAACCGACAGTGGTGGTGTATTTCATCAGCAGCGACAGTCTTCGTTAGGCAAAGGAATTCTCGCCAGATATCTTGTCTTGAATTTAATCCAACATGCGCATATGAATTGCGAGATATTTCACTATTACGCATCATACGGATGAAATTCAAGATAATTGTTCTTTTAGAATCCTAGTTTTGGTATGAATACTTGAAATTGATATTGTGTATGTTTTGAATTCCTTCAAATTACCCTCATGCCTTGGAAATTTCAAAACGTTCTTCTCATAATTTGCAAGAGTCGTTATCATACTGCCAAGATAGATAAATTGCTATGGCACCCGTCAAAAGGGTTCGTTCTCTGCTAATCTATTAACCGACTGCTCATTGGCTTGAAAAATGTATTTTTTTGTAACTTCGAATTCGTTATTTACAATAGAGTACCTTTTATATCTTGCTTTTAGGAATCTGCCTCTGCTTCCTCTGCTACCTTCTGATCTACTCTAATGCTCTTTTTAACCGGAGTGTGGTAAATATACAACTTCAACTGTACCTGAAACCAAACCCCTGCCCCCCCACTCCCATCGCTTACCCCGCTCCCACTCCTCCTTCCCCCCCATCCCCCCCCCCCTCTTCTCTCTCTCAGACAACAAAGAGAAGTTTGATTAAAAAGCCATGGCGAAGGAAAAGCTGACGAATGGTAACTGACTTAAAAAGTTGGCCTTGGAAATTTGGCGGGTAATTTAATTGACTGTTGTCCGCTGTGTTCTTAAGAGATATAAGACGCAAACTGACCCCCAGCTTTTTGTGTGCCCAGTGGTATCCGGCCTTAGTGATTCGCTTAATAAAAAGGCTCCAGTTGCAACAAACGTTTGGTACTACTTTGGAGTAAAAATATCAAAACCATTGACATGACTGTAGGCCTCCGAATGAGGTAAAGTAGATGATTTGATGCTTTCCGAAATTCCCTACCGCTCTGTCTTCAGTCCACCAAAATAGAATAATGAACTACATGTCTTTGAAAACTCTATAAATATCTTTTTATCTGGCTCACGCGATGGACAAATAACATTTAGTTATCCATCTATTACTCTTTCATTGGAGTCACCAAAACAATTACGCATACAGTACCTAAAGAGTTTCATACGAGCACATCTGCCGACTACGGAAGTGCCTGATGCATAGGCATACCGTGAGGAATAATTTCCGAGAATTCCGATTCTTTGAAACTATGGAAGAAATGCTATTTCCGTAAGTGCAAGTGAATTTACTATCACGTCTTCTGTCCAGCGTTTACATTAACGTACCCAGACAAAATAATGGGGCCTATTTTATTCAATAAATTACATATATTCCGTAATCCCGATAGAAAAAATAAATAAATGAAATGTGGGTCAAGCTTAAAGCTGCCCAGTGAAAACCGGATGTACAGCTTAGTCACGTTTCATTCGCTTGAGGTTTCATTTGCTCTGGGTCAGAACAACTTCCTGCGACTATTTTGATCGTCGACAATAAAAAGACATTATGTAATTTCAATATCATAACACGTGTAGAGCCGGCTTTTAGATTCCCTACGTTTAGTTGTAAGTGATGTCTAGATAGCATGGAACTGAGTCACTAACAAGGTAGAACATCATTATGGTTTTTTTTACCCCGAAATATGTATTATAAAAAAACTTCTTAAAAAAAAAACAGAACAAAACATATAATTAAACAAACAAGACAGAAGAAGGAAAAGTAACAAGGAAAGTTCAAAGAAATTTCTATACTGTACTCCTTAGTTGGTCATTATGAATAAAAAGAGGGAAAGTTATGGAGACATCTGATCCCTGCAAATTTCATTTAGTGTTGATTATCTACTAGTATGAAAAAAAAATTAGTCTCACGGAACTCATTCCGGTAACAATACAAGTTTAAGTTCATCGGACCTAAAATCAATCCAAAATAACCAAAGTATTAAATTGTTATCTTTCATCCTTTTGTTACGGAAGTCGTAACGTTGACTAGGTTTTGAGGTCAAAAGCTTCAGCATTATAAGCATATTATTTTCTAGAACTCGCGTTCTCGGAAAAGATGGAAGCGTTATTGCCTCTGAATGTTCTAAGATAGACCCAAGACCGGGTTAAGTATTAAAAAAACTCTTCAGAGAAGAGGAAAGAAAAAGAAGATGCATGACAAAATCTTTTCCCACAGATTCGTACAAGGAGGCTACATGCAAAATATAAATACGTCCCCTGAATCGGGTAATAAGAAAACCGTTGATGTCGTTTGTTTTGTAGGTCATGTTATTTTGTTTGAACCTTTGGGTTAAGTTGGAAACACTTCCTGTGACTATTTTTAACCCGCACTGTTAAAAGAGAAATTACGTCATATAACATCATGTTCGTGGCACACGCAGGGCCGATTTTTCGTTTTGATATGTTTAGCGGTAGCTGATATCTGTGTATTGAATCTTCATCAGCGTAGGATATCTAAAGGATCAAAACATTTCCCACAAAAATTAATTGTGAAGCTTATGATGAATAGTAGAAATGATGGCAATAGTTGAATCATGTAATGGACATATATAATTATTTCGTAGGCTGAAAGATTAATCGCTTTGGAAACGTCGCAGTGTTTTGACATCTACATAAGATACTCATCTATGCAGGATATTTAAGAAAAAGCTTTTGTTGGGTGATATTAGTATCAGGACTAGAAGCATCTTCTTTTTGACTGCTGCAGCAGTGGAGGAACTTTCCTCCTTTGACAACATCGTTTGTACCCTTGCTTTCGGAAAATATCATGCTGGGTTTAGGACAAAGAGAATTGACACACATAGGGAAAAAATGGCCGGTTAGGCTTCGGTCAACCTCTGTAAATCGTTCCCATATTGTTTTGGACCTTTTTTTAGGCTCGTAGATATTTATCCTACTGCAAAGAAAGACGCTATAAAGTCTGAAACGTTCGAGGTCAGCAGAGCGGTCGTTTCATCGACCAAGATCACCTCGTTCATTGCGTTACATTTTTCCTGGTGATTTTGAATTTGTACATCCTCGCCAATTTAAAAGAGCTCTGACTTAATTAGTAATTTAATTGTGTCTTCTTGTTGATTTGATTTCCAAAATTTCCTCGCCAACCCAAAACTTTCAAATGCTGCTTAAAGAAAATAGAAACTGACGACAGCAATTGTGTATTTTTTGTCTTTATTGTAAAAATTTGTTATCAAAATCAATTCATAATTCAGAAGCTATGATAACAATCTTTATATAACGACAAATGAGTTAGGGAAGCCTTTCGACTGAATAAAAATATCATTGCAATTCTTCAGTGAGTAATACAGCTAGGTAGGTATGGGTCAGCATATACGGATATGTCTTACATGTGTCGTTTGCGATAAATCTCATTCCCTTATACTGTTTCCGTGTTTTAAGAAATGTTTAGAATGTTTCCGGTAACGCTTAACTTCAGAGAGACCCTGGAACAAATCCGATCCCATATGCATGAAACTTTGGCAAGGGTTCCAAATAAATAATATTACAAATATACTTTTTAAATAGCAATGAGAATTGAAAGCTTGTAGGTTACGACTCATAAAACTCGACAATGAGTTCGAGCACTGAACACGCATCTGTTTATAAAGCACTGTTAACTTTGTCCTTTAAATTCTTCCACTGGCATCACAGGAGACTATCATGTCAGAATACTGTATTTGTCTTTATTGTATGGTTTCATCTCTCGAGAAAGGGCCAGGTAGCACCAAAGGGCAAACAATGTCTCTATGATACAATGTTCCTTTGTTTGTGAAGCAACCTCTGCTTCGATGACTTCTTTCTCCGTTGGTACCAACCAAAGGTCGCAACTTTCTTCAATTTGTATATCGGATCAGTCGAGGAAAAACCGTTTGACTAGGTATACATCAAGTAAATTTTAAGTGCATTCATGACCATTCACTGTGGCCTCCACGCAGAAGGAACTTGGAAGAAGTCGAAATCGCAAAAAAGCATCCGATGGCAATTATAACGATGCAGTATTCAAGGCAAATCTCATGGAAGGAATAATGGACTCGTCTGAAGTGGGAGTCGTCTTCATTCGAAGATAAAGTAATAGGAAC